GATGATCGTCTCCTGGAGGAACAAAATGACCTGCATTTGTATAGCGCTTTACAGTCAGTTATTTCCAAATCACAGCCTCTTAATACTCTGCAAGCTTCCCGCCCCTCCCTCTTTCTCTCTATCTCTCATCTCTGTACACGCAACATCTGAGTGCCTGTGTGTCAGTTCTTGGTTTGATTTAGCAGCTCACTACAGTAAATGTATTAACTAACCTCACTTGACCCTTGTTGGTCTTATTGGTCTAATGGTGAGCTTAACTCTACAGTAGGATGTGTATTCTCAGTTGCAGCCTTCATTTGTGGTCTTTCTCTTTGTAGCTGAATTTTCTTTAACTGTGAGGATTGTGCGAACATTTCTCCAGTGTTTTCAAAAGCAGACACGAGTGATTGTCAGCACTGACGAGAGGTGGCAACTTTCTGAGGAACATGTTCTCACTGTAGAGCCTTCTTTTGACGGTATATTTGCTCAGATATGTTTTTCTGTTGTCACATCACTTTTCTTTTTTTTTTTGTCTCCTTCAGTTCCTCCAGACGTCCCACAGCAGCCTGTCTGCGAGGAGGAGGAGGTTCTTCCTGAGCAGCAGCTCTGGAACCAGGAGAGGAGCTCCAGTGTGGACGAGGAGGAACCAGAACCTCCACAGATTAAAGAGGAACAGGAGGAACTGTGCAGCAGTCAGGAGGGAGAGCAGCTGGGACTGAAGGAGGAGACGGATACCTTTATGGTGACTGCTGCTGAGGAAGGAGAGCACAGTGAACCAGGAGGAGACGGGGAGCAGCTCCCCTCTCCCAGCTCTGCTGGAGCTGAGAACCAGGATCAGGAAGGAAGCAAGAATTCAAGATCAAGTAGAAAAAGAAATAAAAGTCATAAAAATAAAGAAGGCCCCACTGCATCAGGGAGTCGGTGTAACTCTGGTAAATGTAAAAAGACTCTAAAATGTGATGTTTGTGGAAAAACCTTTGAGTTTAATTATCAAATTAAAATCCATTACAGAATCCACACAGGTGAGAGGCCGTTTGCTTGTAAAATGTGTGGGAAAATGTTCAGATGTAATAATTCTTTGTCAAAGCACATAAGAACCCACACAGGTGGTAAGCCATTTTCTTGTACAATATGTGGGAAGATGTTCAAACGTAGCTCTCACTTAACAGAGCACATAATGACTCACACAGGTGAAAAGTGTTGTTCTTGTCCAACATGTGGGAAAATGTTTGCATATAATAGGGATCTACTAAAACACTCAAGAAGTCACACAGGTGAGAAACCATATCATTGTAAAACATGTGGGAAAGTGTTTGGATATAGTAGTTCTTTATTCAAGCACATGAGAGTTCATGCAGGTTTGAAACCATCTCATAAAACATGGAAAAATATTCAGAAGTAGCTTTAATCCTCCAGAGTCCCGCCCCCTTTACTTTAGTGTTCCCAGTCAGACTTGACCGGTCTGTTTTAACAGCTCTTAAATTAGCATAAAGCATTTGTATGTAAAACACAATATTTATGAGTGCTTTAAGTTGTAAATCTGTCAGATTTGACCCCAACATGACAGGAACACAAAAACACACATGCTGTAAAACATGAGAACATTTGTTGCACCACATGAAAACTCACAGAGAGAGAAATGTATCCTCAATCAGGATTATTGGCTTAGTGAGCTGCTTTGAGCTGAAACCACGTTTGTGTCTCTAAAGTCTTTACCTGGCCAGTTTTTACCTGGCTAAATCACCGTGGTAACTTACATTGAACATGTAAATAAACTGGTCAAAAGCGGGTAATGTTCAGAGGTTCAGTTTAAAAGTGGCCAGAATGTGACCCCGTATGTGTAATTTAATAATGCAGCAAATGTAAAGTATGTTGTTGTACTTGATTCTAATTTTCTGCTAAGTCTCTTTCACACAGATTGAATTGTAGCTATTACAAAAACACATAAGCAATAAAATGAATTTCACTTTGCTACAGACTAAAGCAAATCTTTTGTCAGGCTTTGGGACTGTAAGCTTTAATGTTTACATGGGTCCAGTTCAGAGCTCTAATGAGAGCTGAGCGCACACTCAAAGAGAAAATAATTATCACATTAAAATGTTTATTTTACTGCTCAATGCACTAGTTTTCTGCTGCGTTAACCTTTTATCATATCTTTACGTCGTATTCTGTTTAACTTACATTTTTATGTTCTTTATAGATTTTTTAAATCACTTTATCATCATCTGTTCATGTCTGATGGAGTAGGTTACACTCACACTATGGAAGAAATGAGCAGGCTCAGAGTCTGAAGCAGAAAGCCCGGCTTAAATAAAAAGTTCACCTCGACTGTCGTAAAACTGTTTTCTCTGCCTGGGATTTTACTAGTGATGGTGAGATGAAGCCTCGTGATGAACTGAAGCTTTCCA